TGGGTGGGCAAGACAGTCATTTGGGTGGGCTCAGCCCACCCCTGCCCATGTCTGGAGCCGGCCCCAGAGAACACTGTAACAAGTTCCCATGGATTATGATGAATTTTTGTATACTGTTTATATTATATATTTTATATACATAGGAAAGAGGGCCTAAACATTTATTTTGCCTATGACGATATTACTGAGCGCAATCTAATTCTGATTGAATATCCTGTATGCATAACTGTTATATACAGCATTACAGGCTACCACGCCATCTATTGGATTTTGCTGATATTGTATCAAATTAGTAATTTTGAAGTCGGACCAACTGCATCATGGGCCGGCTGAAAGTAGCAGGTGGTCCGTAGTTTGCCCCCCTCTGCTCTATAGTATGGTATCTAGGTGAAAGAGTCTCTGTGTGCTGAGAATTAACTGACTTCTGTGATGTGAAGCGGCTAGCAGATGGTCGGTTTAGCCAGTCTGTCTGCTTCCTGACCTGGGCCCCAGTTAGTCAAGTACAAACTTGAACACTATGTGCCATATTTCTAGTGAGAAGAGCGGCACCACCCCTGAAGGGATGAAGACCATCTCTTTTCAACAGGTCAGGTCTGCCCCAAAAACTCATCCAATTGTCTATGAAACTTATATTATTCTGCTGGCACCACTTAGACACACCAAAGTACGAATATTAAATGAATATTACAAATATATTAATTTAACAGGTTCTTAAAAAATGGCACAACACAAAACGAGTCACACACAGGTGGCAGAACAAGGCTCCACAGGACCACAAATTACTCCAAGGCAGGCAAGAGAATAAAAAATAAAAAAAGACTAATAAAAGAAAATAAGTAGCAAATGATGATTAAATTTAACCAACACAAATAACTTAATATCAACCAAAAATGCAAACAAAAGATCAGGACTAAGAACTAAATGAATACTAAAATAAAAGTGGAGACAAAAACAGACCAAATCCAAAAACCAAGGAGCACGACAAGAGCATAGAATTACAAGAGACAAGACTAGGGCAAGACTAGAGCACAAGATCAAACAGGCAGGGAGACAGGAACACATACTCAGCCACATCCACAGACAGAAACAAAGACAGTGACAGAGAGGGTAAGTATGACCATGAACTGGCAAATACAAAAAGGGCAAGGAGAACTATAAATAGGGAGGAAGGCACACAAGGAACAGGCGAGCACAATTAAACCAACAAGGGCTAAAAAGAGGGTGTGGTAAAGAGGAAACGAGGAGGGGCTAGAGGAGCACATGGCTGAGAAAAACCATCAACAAAGCCAGGTGCTGATACACAAGACAGACACAGGAAACAAACACAAGACAAATGGAGTGTCAGAAGTGGCAGAACCCCGACACTACCCCCCTCCCAACGGACGCCTCCTGGCGTCCTAGCCCAACATCCAGACCTTGGTTACAGAATGGTCGGTGCCCAGATAGTACAGAAAATGGGGGGAGGGGGTAAAGTCAGGGTCATGAGCAGGCAGCACTGGGGCTGGAGCAAATTCTGGCAACTCACAGGCTGCAGAAGACTGTACAGGAACATCTTCAGAGGTAATAACAGGGAGAGCAGTAGGCTCGGGGACAGCCTCCACAGGTGGAACATGACTAGCAGGAAAATCTTCTGAGGGACTTGTCAGAAACAGCCGAGAACTGGTCTGGTGTGATCTCAGTGGATACAACTTGACTAGCAGGAACAACCTCTGTGGGCTTGACAAGACAAACAGGAACACATCTCCTTGGCCATGACCCAACTGGCAAGGACAACCTCAGAGGACATAACAGGACAGACAGGAACAGTTTATATGGCCATAACTTGACAGGCAAGAACACCGTCTAAGGCCATGACCCAACTGGCGGTAACAACCTCTGTAGGCGTGACAGGACAGGCAGGAATAGTCTCCATGAACATGACTGGCAGGTACCACTTCAGTGGATCTGACATAACAGGCAAGAACCTTCTCGATGGACTTGACATAACCGACAAGAACATCTTCTATGGACATAACATAACAGGAGTGATCTCTGGGGACTTGACACGACTGACAGAATAAATGACAACATTGATCAGCCAACACAGGGTTAAGTGAAGCTGACTTGATTGACTCGGAGGTGGCTACAATGGCCTGGGTCAACACAGGAATGACTTGACTGCAATTGGGATGGCCACATCAGTCTGGATCAACTCGGAAGTCTGGAACGGATTTGACTGACTTGGATAACTGTAGTGGTCTCAGGAATGATTTAAACAGACTTGCTAGAAGCAAGGATGGCTGCGGCAATCTCAGTGGACTCTGTGTCTGTTAAACCAGCTTCAGACACTCCTGTGATGGCCACAGCGGTCTCAGTCGGCTCAGACACAACTGGAACATACTTGACTTTAGCAAGGATAGCAGCAGCAGTCAGTCAACTCACAGGTGTTTGAAACTGGCTTGACCGATTCAGGAATGGCACCAGCTCAGAGAAATGGTACGGACTAGACTGGATCAGGGATACCTGCAGTAAACTTGATCAAATCAAGGGTGCCTGGAACTTGTTTGACTGACCCAGGGATAGCTGCAGCAATCTCAGTCAACTCAGGGATATCTGGAACTGACAAGACAGGATTAATGGAGCAGAATTGACTAAATTAGAAAAAAAAAACAAAAAAAAAACACTGGAGTAGTGAAGCTCATCTGCTGGGTCCTGACTTTGGCCGGTTCGTAATGTCAGGGATCTGGAAGGAGGACCCAATCGCAGTGTGAGTAACAAGGGTTGCTTGACAAAACAGACCGATACAAAAGGGTAGTGAGGTGCACAGGTGATACCACAACAGGAACACAGGAAACAGAGACAGCTAGGGAAGGCCACTGGAACTGCTTCAGACATCAACTGGCAGAATACTTTAGCAGCAGAGGGGGCAGCAAGACCAGGCTGGTGGGGAGAGCAGAGCAAGGCACTATAGAGCTGAGCTCAGATACTTGTTGACCGTAAACTCTGAAGCACCCCAGATGCCAGGCAAGGGTACCAGTGGGCTGGAACAGGTCAGAACAGGAACTCGAACACCACCACCACAACAACAACAACAACGACAGAACAAGGCTCCACAGGACCACAACTTACTCCAAGGCAGCCAAGAGAATAAACAAAACAAAAGGACTAATAAAAGAAAATAAGTAGCAAATGATGATTAAATTTAACCAACACAAATAACTTAAAATATCAACCAAAAATGCAAACAATAGAATGTAATAGAATTACAAGAGACAAGACTAGGGCAAGACTAGAGCACACGATCAAACAGGCAGGGAGACAGGAACACATACTCAGCCACATCCACAGACAGCAACAAAGACCATGACAGAGAGGGTAAGAATGACCACAAACCAGCAAATACAAAAAGGCAAGGAGAACTATAAATAGGGAGCAAGGCACACAAGGAACAGGTGAGCACAATTAAACCAACAAGGGCTAACAAGAGGGTGTGGTAAAGAGGAAACAAGGAGGAGGGGCTAGAGGAGCACATGGCTGAGAAAAACTATCAACAAAGCCATGTGCTGACACACAAGACAACATAGACACAGAAAACAAACACAAGACAAATGGAGTGATATTAATGTGTAAGGACCACGCAATTGGCCAAACGGAGGTATCCAATGGTGGCTGAAGGTTTCCTGCGTGTTCAATCTTTTCAGTGCGCAAAGTTATTAAATTTAAGTTAAATTCTAATCAGACTCCAATTTATTATGACCTCGAATTTATGTTAGCATGCCAATTATTATTGATCATGTATAGGATAATTTATCTAGACATATGATTAATCTATTTAACTCTTTAATCTTATTGTACTCGTTCATTCGGATTCTCATGTCGCTCAGAGATCTCGCATCGGCCATTAGCAGACTAATGCCATTAGCCCTTACAGTCTAAGAACACTTGAACTAATACCAAGTGTTAGCCGGATCTCTAAAGATCCAGTTTGTGCGCCCTATGCTCCATCTCAACTGGATTTTAGTCCATTACTAGCCTGACGCAAAAATACGGTAACAAGGATACAATGTAATCTACTAGAATCAATAATTTCAGAGTAAACAGAATCAATTCAAATGTAACAATTTATTATACATACTGTATTTACAGTCAGGTAAATATGTATTATGCCAATTGCATAGTCAATTCAGAGATATCAAATCAACACAAGACATCAAATTCTCAAAGATAAATGTAAGAGTAAAAGATGCATACCTGACTTGAGGAAAATACTTAGTATAGAGTTTGTGTGAAAACTCCACACTACGGGCTCATCTGACTACAGAAGCCCCCGATCTTCTTGCAACATTCACTTAAGTACTCAGGCCAAGACAAACATCCTCCAAATGGAGACAGGAACTAACCATTGGAATTTGCATTGATCAAGTCCTAGACGTGGAGAGTTTACACCTTTTGGGGACAGATGGTAATTTGCATGAAAGACACTGGGAAATGACACACCCTCTACAGTGAGCAACATATCTCTAAACTCTTAGGATCTGTATTACCTTTTAGTCTACTTAGACCATTGTACCAGACGACTTGAGACAATTCAAATGATTCCAAACATGACTGTGAATATCACTTGCATTCATGTTGAACATTATATTATGCTGTTGACCATTCTGAGTGAGTGGAGTGAGGGGAAGGAAGTGGATGAACAGGATATGTGAGAAAGGAGCTTTTCCCACATCTTCTCTCAGTGAGATGTCGAGACGGATGTCTGTATGTTAATACACTGTGTTTGTATATTGTCCGTATCTCAGAATATCAAAGTGTCTGAGGTTCTTCAAGTCTTACAAATGTATGTGCCATATGGGGACGCCTGTGTGAACCTGAGGAAAACTGACTTTATACATCTTCTAAAAATCACCAAAACACCAGCTGACTCAAACACATTTAGACTTTAAAGAGACTTTAAACTTTCAAGTTTCTTGGTTCCAATGACATTCTCTGTTAATATTGCCTCATGCTCTTTATCGCAGCTATTTGCCGGAGCAGCTGTGGTGATGGTTTCTGCTCCAGACCCAACATGTGTACATGTCCTGGTGGCCAAATAGCCCCAACCTGTGCCAACAAATCATGTACGTTTTTCCAGATATCTTCATTCAAATAGGTTTCTAAAGAAAAAGAAATACTGTAAGACAGAAAAGGTAGTGACGTCCACATGCCATGTAAAGCAGTCCTAACCTGTCATAACATGAACCATTTGTGATTATAAAGTCTTTCTGTCTGCTTTCTTTTCTGGTTAAAGCCCAACACTGCAATATCAGATGTATGAATGGAGGGCTGTGTGAAGATGACCATTGCCAGTGTCCAAAGGGATTTACAGGAAGCTTCTGTGGACAGCGTGAGTTCAAGTTCAAGTTAAGTTTATTTCTAGTGCACGTTTAAGCGTAGAACAAGGCAGACCAAAGTGCTGCACAACAAACAATAAAATGCCTCAAAAGTATGGCTACGACTTAGCTGTACATTGGTGTATCTGATCTATGTCTTACTTCCATCCTCGCTGGACAACCTGCTTCTTCTTCATGTCGTCTGAGACATGGGCTCATCATTGGCTTGTTTTCGAATTCCATAAATTCTCTGTCAAGCTTTACTCAGGTCTCTTCACTGTCACCCAGTCACATTCAAACACTGCTTCAAGATTCCTGTCCTTAATCAAACTCAAAGTAAATCCAAAGACAGCAAATTTACCTGCAATACTAATACACAGGACTTGTTATTTTGATTATGTACAGGAGCAAGAAGCCCATCTAGGTGTACAGTAACATCCTGGCTAGGCATTAACTGAACTGAGGTCTCATTGTAGAGTAAAAGCATGTAGAAGACCATAGACTGAGGGTCAGCTGATGTTCACAAAACAGCACAGACTGCTGGAGGTTATCAGGGTTCTCCAGAGTTGCAGGTGATATAAATCATCCAGAGAACCAGCCGTTTCTGTAGTAGTTCAAGGCTTTGCTTATAGACAATTGAGGGCAAGCCAAAGCTCTTGGCTCATCTATTTGGCACTCAGCTAATGTTAAAAGTCTTTGATTCTGGGTTTAAAGCCATGGCCTTTCGCCAGTGCTTTGGAATGCAAGATGAGCAACATTAACCTGTATGGACGCTACCTGTGTTAACAGCCATCCTGTAGTAAGCCAGCCATAAGTCGCTGTTCATTTATCGTGAAGTGTCCTAGACTTTCAGGTTAAGATGATTTAAATGTTTTTCACGTAGGACACATAACACACATGCCCGACCTAATTTATCTTTAAATTGATTCTTTATACAAAGAATTTAGCACACTTCCATCATCAGATCATGCAGAGCAAGTACAATATATATTGGCTTTTATCTGAAGAATGGTTGTGATCTATAGTTATTTGATCCTTACAAGGATCAGACTTATGATTTGTCATATTCATATTAATTTCAATGAGAGTAAAACTGAAATAATTGTGTTTGGTCCGTCGGATTCTCGTAGTACACCGAAAGTAAATCTTGGCGATTTAACCTCTTCCGTGAAGCCTTGGGTAAAAAATCTGGGTGTTATTTTTGATGATGGTTTAAAATTTGATAAACAGATAAATACGGTGGTGAAGTCCTGCTTTTTTCAGCTTCGACTTCTAGCAATAGTAAAACCTATTCTGTCTAGTAAAAATTTTGAAAAAGTAATTCATGCTTTTATTACATCTAGATTAGACTACTGCAATTCGCTGTATTTTGGGATTGGTCAGTCAGCCCTATCCCGCTTGCAGCTAGTTCAAAATGCAGCTGCAAGGCTTTTAACGAGTACCAAAAAACGGGATCATATTACACCAGTTTTACGTTCTCTGCACTGGTTGCCTGTGTGCTATCGAGTTCATTTTAAAATTCTTCTCTTAGTGTTTAAATCATTAAATGGTTTGGCCCCTGCTTATTTGTTTTTGGATCTAACTTGACTTGAAATAACTTTGTTTCCAACATTTCCCATGTCCTCCATTTCATTATGACCTATATCTGGCGGACTAATCTTCTCATTAGTTGCTATGGGTATGGAATTATTTCTTGCTTAATGACAACCCAGTCAGCAAATTTCCTTTGGCGCGCTCCCATGTCCTCCATTTCATTATGACCTATATCTGGCGGACTAATCTTCTCATTAGTTACTATGGGTATGGAATTATTTCTTGCTTAATGACAACCCAGTCAGCAAATTTCCTTTGGCGCGGATCTGGCCCATATCAACAGCTAAAGTGTCAAAAGAAAATTCCCTCCAATTCTAAATCCATGGCTAAACATATACGGTTAAAGTTTGGTCCATATGTGCTCAGCCATGCCATACCTAGGCCAAATGTGACAGCTATCAGCCACATTTGGCCCAAACGCTCTTGCTATCTGGGAAGGGGCCTTACTTTAACAATCTAAGCACAAGGTCTAAAGCGCACGGCGCAGGTGCACTTAGGGCGTGTCCGAATCCACTTTTGCTAGTTGAACGACGGGAAAAATGGTCGGCGCACCCGGCGCATGCTCTAAAAGGGTTGTTCATATTCTCTCTTAATGAGTCATGGGAGTGTTTTGGGCGTAACGTGCAATAAACCAATCAGAGTCTCATCTCCCATTCAAGTCAGTTGTGCTCGAGCCATGGCGGATTCGCTAATTACATGGCGGAATTTGCAAGAGCAAAGACTGAACGCATCTCCAGAGAGAGAATCTACGGGGCACAATAATAATGTTTTACATTGTAATCCTTTCATTTTTAATATTTGGCATGTTTGTGTGCTGCTGTGTGTGTAATAAGCAGAGTGTACATGCATTGTTCACCCACCTATAGGCGCATATTACTAACGCGCACTTTAAATAACAACAACAACAAAAAAAAGATTGCGCCGTTGAATTTAGACCAGGTTTCAGTTGATCAATGGTGCAATCGTTTTCATTTGCCTCAAAATAGCAACGCGCCTGAACACACCTGGTTTTCAGACCAGCACGCACAACTAGCGCACAAAAGGGCCCAAATGCATTTGCTATTTAAACAACGTGGCGCAGGACGTGAAAATGATAACTGCGTTGGGCTGAAACTGGCAAAAAAACACTTGCATCGCACCTGTCGCCGCATTGCGCCGGGTGTATGATAGGGCCCAAGGACATCAATTCTTTTTAGGGGTATTAAATGAATAATTCACCCAAAAATGAAAATGTGCTGAAAATTTGCTCGCCATCTGGCAATCCAAGATCAGGATGAGTTTGTTTCTTCATCATATTTGTAGAAATGTACATTGCATCAGTGTCTCAGCAATGGATGCTCTGCAGTGAATGGGTGCCGTCAGAATGAGAGTCCAAACAGATGATAAAAACATCACAATAATCCACAGCACTCCAGTCCATCAGTTAATGTCTGCCCAAAATAAACAATCCATCATTAAGACATTTTTTTAAACTAAAATATGAGTCCATAATCCATTATAATGCTTCCTCCAGTGAAAAAGTGGTCTGGTCTGAATCAGGAGAGAAATCTGCACAGATCAAGCAGCATTTACAAGCCAAAACAGCTCTAAACAAATATGTGGCTGTAGTTTGATGTGAGAGACAACAGGAGATGGACTTTTTCACCGGAGGAAGCGTTATTATGGATTATGGACGTACTCTATGAAAAAATAACTTCTACATTTATACTTCCTTTATTTATGCAAATTGGGGTGTAAATTCAGCTGCATTTTCATAACGTTGGGTAACACTTTATTTCGATAGTCCACTTTAGACATTCTATTAACAGTAAGTAACTTTGCAACTACATGTCAACTAGCAGTTAGTAGAGTATTAGTAGACTGTCTGCTTAATATCTTCTAACACTTTCTTTGTCAACTTATTCTACTAACCCTAAACCTACCCTAACAGTCTACTCTGAAAGTTAGTAGAAATGTAGTTGCAAATTAATGAGAATTAGTTGACGTAGTTACAAAGTTACTTATAGTTATTAGAATGTCTAAAGTGGACTATCGAAATAAAATGTAACCTAAAGTTGTTTTTCTCTCTGTCTATGAGCTGAATGTCTGATCATCTGTACAGGAGCAGACACACATGTACAACAGCATTACAGCTTTTCTAGATTCTGTCATTAAGATGCATCTTTCATCAGAGGACAGTTCATTTTTCCATATATTAGGAGAATAATGTCCAATAATGTCCACTATGTCCAATATTCTTACTTGCCTGGGGAATAATGCGATGTTTTTTTCAGAAAAGATCCTGAATATTGTGCTTTGTAACTTTTGTGGATATGTCAGATTACCGAACAGGGCCATGCTTCATCCGGGTGCACAGCAGGCAGTGTGCAGCTCAGAGCAGTGGCTTTGTGTGCAGTAAGGCACTGTGCTGTGCCACGGTGGGACAAGCGTGGGGTCACCTGTGTGAGCTGTGCGCTCCGCTCAGCTCATCCTGCAGCAGAGGATTCACGCCAAATAGCCGCACAGGAGCCTGCCAAGGTGAGCACTGATTCTATTACATTATTAAAATGTGTAACGTGCAGACAGTGGGAGTGTTCAGAGAACCAGTTTGAAAATGTATTTTTGTGGCACAGATATTACACACTTTACCCTAAAGAGTAAGTTGGTCAACAGTATCCATTAACGGTCATGATTCAAGTGCTCAGCACGGTTGTAGTTGAGAACAGTCGAGACCCAAGTGTCCACATGCTCCATTACAAGAAAAATGAAATGAAAATATGGCCTTGAACTCTGACTCAAGACTTTTGACTTTTTCACCAGTGTCTTGAATTTAATGTCAACAGCAGCTAGCAGCCAGTGTGGCGACAAAGAGAGGTGTAAAGTGAAATCTCCTAGGCTCAAGATCTCAAGATGTTGTTCAGCATACATATGCATGACTGCATGGTCTGTGAAGTTAAGCAGCTGTAAGGATCCACCCGCCAGCCCAAAAAGCGGAATCCAGCGGCCTGGTCGAAGGTTTAATGCGTATTCGGTCTTTTACTTGCGCTTCTGAATTGATCAGGACTTAGTTTAAATTTTGTCTAGCTCCGTGTTCAATCTGACTCCCAATTTCACGTGATCAGTTTTTAATTAGAAATATTGCTTAGAAATATTGCCTAAATCTAATGATCACAAATATTAATTTAGATATTTGATTATTCCGGACTCAATACTTTCAATTATCCGTTCACTGGGGACCTAATGTCTCTTTTAAGTCTCACGTTGGCCTTACGTGGATCTTACATGTAACAAAATATATACAAATTAACACCTAAATAGGGACATAGTAGTATACTTAAAGTATGATGTAAAGTTCACTTAAAGAAAACTTACGAGTATACTTGCTAAAATGCTACTACAAGTATTTAATTAGTAAACTATCAGCATACCTGTAAGTAAGCATACCAACGTCACGTGGCCGAGGCTTCGTCTGTACGCTTTTCCCCTGATCGCTCTGCTCCCGGGAGTTCTGGAGCTCCATGGTTAGGGCATTCCTTTACCCGATGGTCGGGTATGTCCCTAAGGTGCACACTTCTTCGCCAGGGCCTATAGTACTTCAGGCATTCTGTCCTCCTACGTTCCAGGAAGTAGGC